CTCCCTCTCCCTCTCGTCCCCGCACACACACGTCTCTCCCTCTCCCTCTCGTCCCCGCACACACACGTCTCTCCCTCTCCCTCTCGCCCCCGCACACACACGTCTCTCCCTCTCCCTCTCGTCCCCGCACACACACGTCTCTCCCTCTCCCTCTCGTCCCCGCACACACACGTCTCTCCCTCTCCCTCTCGTCCCCGCACACACACGTCTCTCTCTCTCCCTCTCGTCCCCGCTCACACACGTCTCTCTCTCTCCCTCTCGTCCCCGCTCACACACAGACACTCTCCCTCTCTCTCCCCCCCACACGTGCGCGCACACAGTCTCTCTCTCTCCCTCACTCACGCACGCGTGCGCATGCACAACAGTCTCTCTCTCTCCCCTCTGCGCGCACACAGTCTCTCGCACTCTCCCCTGCCCTCACACACAGGCACTCTCTCTTCCCCCCCTGTCTCACACAGGCATTCTCTTCCCCCACTCACAGAGGCATTCTCTTCCCCCACTCACACAGGCACTCTCTCTCCCCTCCCACACTCCCCCTCTCTCTCTCTCGCCCCCACACACAGACACTCTCTCCCCGCCTCTCCTCTCTCACACACACACACGCACACACGCGCACTCTCTCTCTCTCCCCCCTTCACAAACACTCTCCACCCCCTCTCTCTTTCACACACAGCACATATATATAAATTTATCTGGTGAATTCGTATTTGCAGATACATTCTATTTTGTTCAAAGTCCATAATTTATAGACAGTCAGTCAATGTGGCCTTTTATAAATTCCTACTTTAGAAATAAAACCGGTCTGACTCCAAACCAAAACACAAACAGACACCTAACATACATTATCTGACCTAAAATGTCATCTTTTTACACTGACATGACCTTTAGTTCTCTCAGTGCAGTGACTTAAAAGAAATTTGGGGATTTACATATACATATTAATCAATTAAAACCTTCTAACAGATTAAAGATTTAACAGCATCTTAGGTTTGTTAAATACATCCTCATTCGTTGTGTGGCCCTTTTATCTTTTACTGACAAATTCTGTGTTCTGTGTGCTTCTTTCTCACTTCACCTGATGAAGGGGATATGCCCTGAAAGATTGTGTTTTCAAATAAACCTGTTGGACTATAACCTGGTGTCACGTGATTTCTGATCTTGTCCACCGTAGTCCAGCATTGGCACCTCCACATCATGGAAATTAGGCAACACGGCAAATACAACTTCCAATGAATTTCCCTAAAATTGCAAAATCACCTTCCAGATCCTTTGTTTAAGCCAGTATTCTTTTCCATTTTTGTTTAAGTCTATAGCCCCTAAAGAAAGTCTCTGCAAGTCATTTAACCAATTTCATACCTAGGCAATCAAGGCACTTCAGCCTCCTTGGTTTTAATCTGCAAAAAGGCATGAGACAACAGAGAGCTGTTCAAATCTATCTTGTTACCTTTAATTGAGCTGCCGAATCAGTTTATTGATTTCTTCTCCACGATTCCCCGTCTCTCCAAGCTCACGGAGAAATCCCACTTTGTTTCTTGCTGCATGTCGAGCTACAGACAGTCTGAAGGGCCACAGAAAGTTCATGGCCTCCTTGAATGATTTTCCCACACAATAGATTTCATGTATTAAGTCCTCGAGACAAATCATTCCCCATTTTCCTGCAAACAAAAATATAGCAATAATGCTCATATAAACTGTATTAGTTTATATAAAACTATAATAAAGCAAATGTAAGTGTCTGAGACTGCCACTTCTTTAAAAATTTTGTTCACAGTATGTGGTATCTCTGGCTGAACCAGCATTTATTGCCTATGCCTAGCTCAACTGTTTGGATGGCTAGTTTGCAACACAGCGTGATGCCAACAGCGTGGGTTCAATTCCTGCACCAGCTGAGGTTACCATGAAGATCCTACCTTCTCCTCACCTGAGGTGTGATGACTCCTGGGTTAAACCACCACCAGTTGTCCCTAATAGGAGAACGGCCTGTGATGCTCTGGAACTATGGCAACCTTACCTTTTTGCCATAACGTTACAACCCTCAAATTCTTTCAACTTGTTTACATTGTCAATTTTCTCACTTTCATCCTCACTCTCCAAGAAACAGGTTAGTTATTCTAAGGTAGTGCACAGAATTGTTACAGCTTAGAAAGAAGCCACTTGGTCCATTGTGCCTATGCCAATTCTATGCTAAATATCTAATTTGACTCACATTCCTGCTCGTTCCCCATATAGAAACATAGAAGATAGGAAAAGGAGGCGGCCATTTGGCCCTTCAAGCCTGCTCCGCCATTCTTCACGATCATGGCTATCATCCAACTCAATAGCATAATTCAGCTTTCTCACCGTAATCTTTGATCCCATTCGCCCGAAGTACTATATCTAATTTTCTTTTCATAAATTCATACTATGTGGGTGGCCTTGGCGAGGCCAGCTGTTATTGATCATCCTGAATTGCCCAGAGGGTAGTTAAAAGTCAACCACATTGATGTGGGTCTGGAGTCACATGCAGGCAACACCAGATAAGAGGAATAGATTTCCTTCATTAAAGGATATTTGTGAACCAGATGGGTTTCATGACAATCAACAGTGGTTACGTGGTTGCAGTTAGCCTATTTATGTATCCCAGATTTGTAATGAATTCAGATTTCACCATCTACCATGGTGGGATTCAAACCCATGTCCACAGGCCAACACCATTTTGTTCTGGATTACTAGACCAGTGACATTAACACTATTTATCTAAATCTCTTGCAAGTTATTATTTAATCTATTCGCACCACCCCTTCAGGCAGGGCTTAGAAGGTGCTATGGAAGAAATATTGATGTATTGCAGCAGTGCATATTATAGATGGTACACATGGCTGCTACTGTGTGTCAGTGTTGAAAGGAGTGAATGTTGAAGGTGATGGATGGGGTGTCAATCAAACAGGCTGCTTTGTCCTAATGGTGCTTCCTGAGTGTTATTAGAGCTGCTATCACCCAAAAAAATGGTTGCATTCCAACACATTCCTGGTTTGCACCTCGTAGATGGTGGGCAGGCTCGGGGGAGTTAGAGTTAAGGCGTGAAGGAATTTCTTCTTTCAGAGAATAGTGAATGTCTGGAATTCTCTATCAGACAGTTGTGCAGGCTAGATCACAAAGTATTTAAAGAGGAGGTACATTTTGAAATATTGAGATGTTGAGGGCAATGAGGAGCTACATGAAAGAGGAGCTGAGGGCTGAACAGCCTACTCCTGCTCCTACTTCTTATGTTCCCAGCTCTGACCTGCTTTTGTAGTCACAGTATTTGTACATAGAAACATAGAAGATAGGAGGAGAAGTAGGCCATTCAACCCCTGAAGCCTACTCGGCTTTCAATATGATCATGGTTGATCGTCAAGCTCAATACATTAATCCCATCGTCCCCCGTTTCCCTTGAATCCTTTAGCTACACAAGCTGTATCTACCTGCTTGTTGAAAATAACGTTTTGGCCGCAAACACTTTCTGTGGTAGTATTTTTCTGTGGTAGTAACCCCTAGGATGATAGTGGTGGAATCAATGATAGTAATACATTGGACATCAAGGTTTATAGGTAACAATAAATTCTTAGATTAACCTGTGTTAGTCAATAAATATCCTTTCACCAATATTCTCTTTTCACACTGAAAGTACTGTTGTCCCTATAATATCTTATAATGTACTTAATAATTGTACATTTTCAAATGCTTTGTATCTACCGTACTTAGATCATTAACCCTTTCTACTACTTCAAAATACTAATCAGTTAAGTCAGACATGATTTGCCTTCTGTGCTGGCTGTCCCTTATTAACTTATAGAGTCATACAGCACAGAAACACACCCTTCAGTCCAAGCCAAACATAATCCCAAACTAAACTAGTGCCACCTGCCTGCTCCTGGCCCATATCCCTCTAAACTTTTCCTATTCATGTACTTATCCAAATGTCTTTTAAACGTTATAATTGTACCCACATCCAGCAGTTTCTCAGGCAATTTATTCCACGTGAACCACCCTCTAAAAAATTTGCTCCGCATGTATTTTTTTTTTAATTGCTCTCCTCTCACCTTAAAAATGTGCCCCCGAGTCTTGAAATCTCCCATCCTAGGGAAAAGACAGCTACCACTAACTCTATCTATACCTCCTCATTATTTCATAAACTCCTGTAAGGTTGCCTCTCAACCTCCTGTGTCCCAGTGAAACAAGTCCCAGCCTATCCAGGTTTTCTTTATAACTCAAACGTTCCATACCAAGCAAGATGCAGTAAATCTCTTCTGAAACTTTAATAATATCATTCCTTTAACTGAGTGATCAGAACCAGACACAGTATTCCAGAAGAGGCCTTATCAATGTCTTGTACAACTTTTCCTTAAGTGAAAACGGATACTATTCTTGACAATGGTCTCAAGTAGTTTTCCCTCATGAGGTTGAATAGCCTGAAGTTGGCAACATTATTCCTTTCTTTTGAAGAGGGATGGAATATTTACAATCCTTCACTTCTCTGAAATCACTCCCATATCTAAGAAGGATTGAAAGATTGTTAGAAGCATTTCTGCTATCTCTACCCTAGTTTCTATTAGTAACATAGGATGGACTGGGTGACTTGTTAACTTGGAGTTATGTCAACTTATTTAGTATATTCTATGTTTACTTTGTGAGCCAAACAACCTCCTCCTGTGCTGTAAATTTATGCAATAGATCCATTATCACTATCCTTTCTCAGTTTTGGGATTATGTCAACAAAATTGATTCTTACCCAGATGCTGCTCAATGATTCTATTGTCGGTTAAAGCCACACGCTTCTTGTTGACTTTTGCTTGGCCCCGTTTCAGAATCAGTTCACGAATAGATTTCAAATTGGGAAACCTATGAGGAGAAAACAAAATGTACATGAATGAAGTGGACATGGTATGCATTAATCAGTAGCCATTATGTGACTGCACTGAAGTACAAAGTATTTTCCACTCCATACTACTCAACCCAGCACGAAACAAGATCCTAAGCTTTGTTGCCGGTTCAATTATCTACAATCGAGAAATTAATTCCAAGTTTTCCCTCCTGAAGTTTCACCCTCTTTCTTTTCAATAGTTACTGTGTACGACGAAGCGGATTTCTGTATTGCCCATCTCTACAGTTATCTACAATACAGTCAGTAGTGAACGTGCCTCAGTTCAACTGCAAAGACTTGAACCCATGAATCAACAATTTATATTTATACAGCAGATTTAATGTAGTAAACCATGACAAAGTGTCTCCTCACAGGGACATTACAAAACAGAATTTGATACCAAACCACATAACATAATAAAATAGGTGACCAAAAACTTCAGGGAAGACAATAGTGTAGCAATAATGTCACTGGACTCCAAGCTAATGCTCTGCTGACAGTGATGCAAATCCTGCCATCGTAGATGCCAAAATCTTTGATCAATAAAATCTGGAATTAAAAGCAATCCTAATGGCAACTGTGTAACTACTGTCGATTCTTATAAAAATCTATCTAGTTCAATAATGTCCTTAAACCAGACACATGGCAAAAATGGTTAGCTCTTAATTTCACTTTGAAATGGCCAAGCAGAAAATATATGCTAATGACACCAACGCCCCATGAAGGAATTTAAAACAAAATTAAGGAGGGACTTGAAACAGAAAAGACTTAGACCTGCAAAGGTTTAAGATGTGAATTCCAGAGTTTAAAGTCCAAATAGCTGAAGTTATGGCTGCCAATTGTGGAGCAATCAAAATTATGGAGAAAGGGAGGGATAAAACTATTGGAGAAACTTGAACACGAGGATGATAATTTTAAGATTGATGTTTTAAAGGACCAGGAGCTGAATAAAGGTGAGCGAACAGTAGTGACTTGCGAAGCAAGCAAATAAGATAATAAATGGTTTGTAAGCCTTTACTACAAGAGGATTTGAGTAAAGGGATAAAGATGCGAATGTAAGTAAGAATTAGGAGCAGGAGTAGGCCAGTTGTCCCTCAAGCTTGTTTTGTCATTCAATGAATCAGAATTCTCTACATTTGCACTCAACCCTGATACCCTTTCACCCCTGCCTTTTTTAACCAATAATCTATCTACTTCTGCTTTCAAAATACTCAATTACTCTGCTTCTAACAGTTTTTGAGGAAGAGAGTTCTGAAGACTCAGATCCCACTCTGAGGAATAATTTAAGGCCATAAGATGTAGCTGCAGAAGTAAGCCATTTGGCCCATTGAGTCTGCTCTGTTATTTAATGAGATCATGGTTGATCTGATAATCCTCAACTCCCATTTTCCCTTTGGAGTCAAAACATTGAATATTTTCAAGGAGTTAGAAATAGTTTTGAGCGATGAAGGGATCAAAGGGCATGGGATGAAAGCAGGAACAGGATACTGAGTTGGATCATCAGCTATGATTATACTGAATGATGGAACAGACTAGAAAGGCTGAATAGCCTGCTAATCCAGTTTGTATTTTCTGTTTCACATCTTTACTATATTGTGGCACTCAAATATACACAATACTCCAGCTGAGGTCTAACAGGGGTTTTGGACGAGTTTAACATCACCTCCTTACACTTCCAGTCTATGCCCCATTAATAAAACCAAGAACAACGGATGATTTAGTAACTTCTTTCTCTGCACTTGCTGTACCACCTTCAATGATCTGTGCACGTATACACCCAGGTCCCTCTGCTTATGCACCCGCTTTAGAATTGTACTCTATTTATATTTTATATTGTCTTTCATGTTGTTGTGACGAAAGTGCATCATCTCACACTTCTCTGCATTGGACTTCATCTGTCACCTGTTGTGGTTGGTTGGTTGGCTCGCCGAGCTGGTTCGTTGTTTTTCCACAGATATTTCATTACCCTGCTGGGTAACATCATCAGTGCAGCCTCCGATGAAGCGCCATTGTGTTTTCCCGCCTGTTATTTAAACTCCGGAGTCCATTAATCTGGATTACCTCACTTCCGGTTTTCCTTCGCAGTGGAGTGTATATGGGGTCGAGCTCTATGTGTTTGTTGATGGCTTTCTTCGTGGTGTACCAGGCATCTAGGAATTCCCGTGCTCATCTCTGCTTTGCTTGTCCCAGGATCTTGGTGTTGTCCCAGTCAAATTGGTGGTTTTCCTGATCCATGTGCTTAGAGATGACTGAGTATTGGTTGTGTCTTTTTGTAGCCAATTGATGTTCATGTACGCTTGTTGTTAATTTCCTTCCCGTTTGTCCAACGTAGTGTTTGTCACAGTCTCTGCAGGGAATCTTGTATATGACATTGGTCTTGTCCATAGTGGGTACTGGGTCTTTGGTTCGGGTGAGCAGTTGTCGCAGGGTTGATGGGGGTTTGTGTGCTACTCTGATGTCCAGTGGTCGCAGCAGTCTTGTGGTCAGTTTAGATGTGTTCCTGATGTAAGGTAGTGTGATGAGTGTGTCGGGGCGCGTAGTATCTTCCTGGTGTTGTTCGTGTAATAGGCATCTTCTGACCCAGTGTTTCGGGTATCCATTGTCTTTGAATACCTGGAAGATGTGCTCTTCTTCTTCTTGGCGTAGCTCTGTGCTGCTGCAGCGTGTTGCTGCTTGTTCAAATAATGCTCTGACTCAACTTTGTTTGTGTGTGTTAGGGTGGTTGCTGTTGAAGTTCAGTACTTGGTCAGTGTGTGTGGCTTTCCTGTGTAACTTTGTTAGGAATTCCCCATTTGCCCTGCGCTCTACCATGACGTCCAGGAATGGGAGCTGTTTGTTCTTCTCCTCTGGTGAATCTGATTCCGGTGAGGGTGTTGTTTATTAGTTCGTGTATCTCCTCCAGTTTGGCCCGTTTAACAATTTCAAAGATGTCGTCCACATAGCACATCCATAGTTTTAGTTGGATTAGCGGGAGGGCCGTACTTTCAAGTCTCTGCATCACCGCTTCGACTATTAGTCCGGAGATGGGTGATCCCATGGTTGTCCCGTTGATCTATTTGTACATTTGGCCATTAAAGGTGAAGTGGGTGGTGATGCATAAGTCCAGTAGCTTCAGCAGGTTGTCTGTGGAGCTGGTGTCACTGGGGTCTTGTTTTTGTTTTAGTAGTGCTGTCATTGTTTCTCTTGCTAGTGGTATGTCGATCGATGTGAATAGGGCAGTAACGTCAAACGATACCAATGGTCTTGTCGTCATCTATCTTGATGTCCTTGATGGAATTGAGGAACTCTTGGGCTGAGTGGTTTGAGTGGGGTGACTCATTGATGAGGTGCTTTAGTCTCCTTTGTAGTTCCTTTGCTAATCTGTGTGATGGCGTGCCTGGTAGGGAGACTATGGGTCACTTCCGGTTTGTGTACTTTCGGAAGGCTGTAGAATGGGGGTGTGTTGGTTTCTTCAGGTTTCATTCTTAAGAAGTCTGTTTTGTTGATCTGTCCGGTCTGTTTGAGTCCTTTTAGCATATTGAGGATCTTGTTGCCTAGTTGTGGTGTCGGGTCTGTCTGCACTTGCCGGTATGTGTTCTCATCGGCTAGCAGTGCATGTGCCTTGGAGATGTAGTCCTGTTCCTTATCAACGAACCAGCTCGGCAAGTCAACCAACCACAACATCCACAACCCGAGCTACAAATCTACTCTAAAACCTTAGAAATCATCTGCCACCTATCTGCCAACTCCACCAACTTACCAATATCCTTTTGCAGTTCCGCACTGTCCTCTCATTTTACAATTCTTCTGAGTTTAGTGCCATTTGCAAAATTTGAATGGTCCCCTTCACACCAAGATCCAGATCATTAATATATATTAGGAAAAGTATTCCAGTACCCACCCCTGGGGACCTCCACTACAAACTTTCCTTCAGCCCAAAAAATATCCACTGACTATTTGTGTGTTTTACTCTAACTCTACCACTCAGATAATTGCTGATAGTCCCTTTAGTACCATGACCTGTCCAGCTCAGTTGGCGAGATGCTGGTTTGCGATGCAAACGATGCCAACAGTGTGGGTTCAATTCCCACACCAGCTGAGGTTACCATGAAAGACTCCTTCTCAATCCATCTGCTTGAGGCATGGTGTCCCTCAGGTTGAACTACCAGTCATCCCGCCTATGGTCTAGTAGATGGCTTTACCTTTTACAGCTACAATACAAACAGCTCAGTACAGAGATTGCAGAAAGTACTGTAAAATTATGACGCTCTACATTTTGGGTGTCAGTCGAATTGCTAAAAAAAGTAACATTTTCCAAACATGGCAAGACTCTCTCCTCTTTAAAAGAAACCTCTAGAAAACTCCAGCAGCTTAGTTAAACACAAGTTCTCCTTTCGAAATTCATGCTGACTCTCCTAATTAATCCATCTAGGCTAGTGTAAACCTCTGAACTTTAATAACTGTTGATGGATTGAAATAATTAACAAAGAGAAACTGTTACATTCAAAAGAATCAGCAATAACTGTCTGGGGGAGGCAATGGCCTAGTGGTCTTATCACAGGACTGTTAATCCAGAGACCCAAGTAATGTTCTGGGGACACGGGTTCGAATGCTGCCACAGCAAATGGTGGAATTTGAATTCAATAAATATCTGGAATTAGAAACTAATGATGATCATGAATCCATTGTCGATTGTCAGGAAAAACCCATCTGGTTCACTAATGTCCTTTAGGGAAGGAAACTGCCATCCTTACCTAATCTGGCCTACATGTGACTCCAGATCCACAGCAATGTGGTTGACTCTTAACTGCCCTCTGGGCAATAAATGCTGCCTGGCCAGCGACACCTTCATCCCAAGAATGAATAAAGAATAAACTACTAAAGGACAAGGACAAGCTTATACAAGAATTGAAAGCAATTAGCAATGTCTGAGAGAGGAAGGATTCAAAGCTACTTGAACTGTTCTGACATTTGCTTGATAACCGAATGCCTCACGCCA